GCCGAGGTGGGCGGATTACTTGAGCTCAGGAGTTCAAGACCAGCCTTTGCCATGATGAAACCCCATCTCTGCCAACGATACAAAAATTAGCTGGGCATGGTGGTGCACGCCTGTGGTCCTAGCTACTCAGGAGGCTGAGGCAGGAGGATCACTTGAGCCCAGGAGGCAGAGGGTGCAGTGAGCTGAGATCATGCCACTGCACTCCAGCCTGGGTGACAGAGTGAGACTCCGTCTCAAAAACAAAACAAAAACTTAATTTCAATGCAAAATTACAAATGCTATAAATCTTTTGGTTTCCCTGGGCCACATGGGAAGAAGAATTGTCTTGGCCCACACATAAAATATATTAACACTAATGATAGCTGATGGGCTTAAAAACAAAAAACCTCAGAAAGAAATTTCGTAATGTTTTAAGAAAGTTTAGGAATTTGTGTTGGGTCACATTCAAAGCCATGCTGGGCTGCATGCCACCTGTGGGTTGCAGGTTGGACAAGCTTGCTATAAAAGAATTAAGTGACAAAGCGTATTAGGACATAATTTTAACATTGATGAAGCACCTTTTATGAGCCAGATGCTGAGCTGGAGGGGGCTGGCTGGGGGATCTCGTAAGGCTAGGTGGGGTTTCATTATGTTGGTGAGGACTGCCAGGGAAGGGGGCATTCCAAGCAGAGGAGCAATGGAAGCAAAGGCAGAGGGAGGTGACCTGACACAGCCTAATAAGGAATGATGGTGTCCCTGCAGCCAAAGAGCCACAGAGAGAATTCTCTCCCATGATGAACAAAGGCAGTGAAAAGGTGGGTATATTTCAGGGAAACAGGAACCCATTAAGTGAAAACTCCATTAGGCTAAGTGGGTTGAGGTCCATTTCATAAACCATAAAGCTTTATTTATATATTTATGAACTTACAAGGCTCCCCGTCTATGTTTAGCAATTTGCAAACCAGTTGTTCAAATTCAGATCCAACGTTGACATTGTTGCTTCCAGCTGCAACAGTCAGATGGTAAAGCCAGGTGTCCTGAAAACCAGAACATATTAACAGAAATGTGAAGACACAGTTTTGATTACTCAAAAAAAAAAAAACAACTTGCATAAACAGTAGAAAACTTTGAGATGGAAACGAACCACTTGCTTTAATTTTAAATAATAATGAAAAGCCATTTATTCAAACCATTCTGAGGCATGCTCACTTGAACTGTGTTTATATTACCTTTTCCCATTATTCACATTTTTCTTATTTTCTTCAGATGCGTCTTAGAAAAGCATGACAAAATTAAGAAGAATAACACATGTTAAGAGACTAAATACAACCAGCTGATATTCTTTTATAAAATAAATAAATTCTATGAAATTAAAAATCTGGCTCCCAGAGTGATACATACAGGATATTTTGGAAATCCAGAAAATTTAAAGAAAACATAATATCCATCTTATCCCATTCACCAGAGATTTCTGGTCTTTTTTTCTCTATGAAAATATATATGTAGATTAAATTTTTACATAGTTGAATTATTCTAAAAGTAGAGGATAATTTCTGAATTTTAGTAATATAGTACAAGCACTCCCTTGTTGCTAGAAATTCTTTATAAACAAGTTTTAATGACTGCAGGATATTCTATTACACATATGGACATACCATATTTATTTAAGCAATTTCTTATTGCTGAACGTTATGATGGTTACTAACTTCTCACTGATAAAAAATACTGTGACAGCTATCACCTGTTAACTGAAAAGGAAATGTTATATTTTCCATGTTTAAAATCCTTAAAAAATAAAATTATTTGAAAAAGAGTATTGTAGGCCGGGCATGGTGGCTCACACCTGTAATCCCAGCATTTTAAGAGGCCAAGGAGGGTGGATCACTTGAGGTCAGGGGTTTGAGACCAGCCTGGCCAATGTGGTGAAACCTTGTCTCTACTAAAAATACAAAAATTAGCCGGGCATTGTGGTGCACGCCTGTAGTCCCAGCTGTGGTGCACGCCTGTAGTCTCAGCTGTTCAGGAGGCTGAGGCAAGAGAATCTCTTGAACCCGGGAGGCGGAGGTTGCAGTGAGCCGAGATCATGCCACTGCACTCTAGCCTAGTGACAGAGTGAAACTCTGTTTTTTTTTTTTTTAGAAAAATGTGTATTGTGTCGAACAAACTATACATAAATGTTTGGCTGCATTTACTAACATTTTCTTTCTCTTTCTTTTTCTTTTTCTTTTTTTTCTGAGACAGAGTCTTGCTACGTCACCCAGGCTGGAGTGCAACGGCATAATCTTGATTCACTGCAACCTCCGCCTCCAGGTTCAAGTGATTCTCCTGCCTCCGCCTCCTGAGTAGCTAGGATTACAGGCACCTGTCACCACGCCCAGCTACTTTTTGTATTTTCAGTAGAGATAGAGTTTCACCGGGTTGGCCAGGCTGGCCTCGAACTCTTGACCTCAGGTGATCCACCTGTCTCGGCCTCCCAAAGTGCTAGGATTACAGGCGTGAGCTACGGTGCCTGGCCAACATTTTCTTAGTATATATTTTTTGAAATAGAATTATGAGTCATTACTAGGGCGTGAAAACTTTCAGGAATTCTTGAAACATATTTTCAAAGTACTTTCCAAAGCATTTACACTAATTTCTATTCCCACCAGTAGTGTATAGGAGTGCTTCCCTCCTCATAGCTTCACTAGCATAATTTTTAAAATCTTTGATAACCTCAGAGACAATAAAAGCTTTATCACTTTTAAATGTGCATATCTTTGATTACAGATGAGTGTAAGTGTTCATTAGCCATTAAATTCCTCAGTAAGTTGTTCGTCAGGCCCTCTTTCCATTTTTCTACTAGAAACATAGTCCTTTTCAAATCAAATGAGAGGTAGCAGAGGCAAGTGTTCAGGAACACAGGCACTGTGGTTAGAGACAGGGGTCTAATATCAACTCTGCCTCTTGCCAGATGTGTGACCACAAAAAAGTGCTTCAGTCTTTCCACCTACAAATGGGAATAAGGTCACCTCCCACAGAGGGTAATTGGAAGGATGAAGAAGAGATATACTTAGCACTTGGCCTGATACATGTGCTCAAAAACAATGACCAATAGTAACAATAATAATCTATAAAGAGTTGTTTATATGTTAAGGATACAGTAGCCATCCATGAAATATTTTGTTTTCTGTATTATCTTTTTAGTCATATTTATGATAATATTTGACAGAAAGAATTATTTCAATTTTTATAGTCAAATCTATCAACCATTTGCACTCTGATTTCTTTCTTTTTTTTTTTTTTTGAGACGGAGTCTCGCTCTGCCGCCCAGGCTGGAGTGCAGTGGCCGGATCTCAGCTCACTGCAAGCTCCGCCTCCCGGGTTCACGCCATTCTCCTGCCTCAGCCTCCCGAGTAGCTGGGATTACAGGCGCCTGCCACCTCGCCCGGCTAGTTTTTTGTATTTTTTAGTAGAGACAGGGTTTCACCGTGTCAGCCAGGATGGTCTCGATCTCCTGACCTTGTGATCCGCCCGTCTCGGCCTCCCAAAGTGCTGGGATTACAGGCTTGAGCCACCGCGCCCGGCCTAGCACTCTGATTTCTTACACTGCCTTTTTGTTTTCATTCTTTCTTTCTTTCTTTCTTTTTTTTTTGAGATGGAGTCTTGCTCTGTCACCAGGCTGTAGTTCAGTGGTGCGATCTCGGTTCACTGCAACCTCTGCTTCCCGGGTTCAAGTGATTCCCCTGCCTCAGCCTCCCAAGTAGCTGGGATTACAGGCACGCGCCACCTTGCCTGGCTAATTTTTGTATTTTAGCAGAGACAGGGTTTCAACATGTTGGCCAAGATGGTCTCCATCTCCTGACCTTGTGATCCACCTGCTTCGGCTTCCCAAAGTGCTGGGATGGACGTGAGCCACCGCGCCCAGTCCACTTTTTTGTTTTCTTAGAAAGTACTTCTGATTCAGAAATCAGATAAAGGCCCTCTTAAAAAATAATTTCATTGAATTCTTTTAACTCTTTAAATTCATCTGGAAATTATTTTGCTATCTATATGAGATGAAAAACTAATGTTTCCTAAGTAGCCAATTTCCTCAATATATAATAAATACATAACCCTATGTATTGAATGATACATTGCTTACCCATTAATTTGTGATACCTCCCTTATCATAAATGACTACATGCACATATAATACATAAAATAATTAATTTTCCAATGTATCTAAGCCCAAATTTTAATAAAATTAGTCAAAAATATAAAATGGAGTCCTTAGATTTACCAAAAAATACTCAGTCTGAGAGATTCACATTTTTAACATAAGGTCCTTTAGCCCTCCACTTCCATGCACTAATTTCAGCCTTGATACCACTTTTACCAACAGGATTGGAAAATGACATATCTGAACAAGGCTCATTTCCAGGGAGGTAAATAATCTCTGAAAACAGAGTTGAGAGTCTATAGCAAAATTTTCTTCCTTATTTCCATTAAATTGATTTGACAATTATTACAAATATCTGAATAATATTAGTCTACATCATTCTAAATCAACCAATAAGTCTTTGAATACCTTTTCATGCTTGGATCCAATTAGGAGGTAAGTTGGACCTTGGTCTTTGGGATGGATAACAATAGTATAATGTGTGGATAACAGACTGCGTCCACTGGCTTCATAATCTTCATCTGAATCACAAGATCGGTCGACCTCTTCCACTTTAGCCTCCCAGAGTTTGATCTGACCTAAAGGAAACTAAAGTAAATGTTAGTAATTATGAGGAAGGCATTTTCTAAATCTTTTCCTACTAAAATGTTTCATAGTCTTTTTCATTTTTAAATTTATAAAGCATACTTTTAAATTTTTTTATTTTCCTTTTTTTTTTTAGAGATGGGATTGGGTCTCCCAGGCTGGAGTGCAGTGGCTCAATCAGTAACCTCACTGTAACCTCGAACTCCTGGGCTTAAGGGATCCTTCCATCTCAGCCTCCCAAATAGCTAGCACTACAGGCACATGGCACCATAACCAGCTGATTAAAAAAAAATTTTTTTTTGTTTGGAAATAGGGTCTTGCTACATTCCCCAGGCCAGTCTCAAACTCCTGGGCTCAAAGAATCCTCCTGCCTCAGTCTCCCAAAGTGCTGGGATCACAAGCGTGAGCCACCACACAAGCATAACATATCTTTTTAAAAATGATGCCTAGAGGCAATTTGATCATCCACAGTGTAACAAAAGTAGTGGCAACAACCAAAGAGCCCACGAGTAATATGAAAGAACCATATACATATTAGAGATTTAACTTTTGAGGAAAAAGCAAGGTGCTACTTCTATACAGTAGTTCAGATGATTCAGCTGTACTAAAATTGTTATAGGAGGCAGAAAGAAATTATTTAGATAGACAGTTAGGGTAAAGTGAGTCCCCAGCAGAAAACTTTCCTTTTAAAAAAAGCAGCTCAGCTTCTCCGAGAAAACACCAAATGGTGGATGACGCCGGTGCAGCGGGGGGGCCTGGAGGCCCTGGTGGCCCTGGGATGGGGAACCGCGGTGGCTTCCGCGGAGGTTTCGGCAGTGGCATCCGGGGCCGCGAGGGGCCACGGAGACAAGGCTGAGGATAAGGAGTGGATGCCCGTCACCAAGCTGGGCTGCTTGGTCAAGGACATGAAGATCAAGCCCCTAGAGGAGATCTACCTCTTCTCCCTGCCCATTAAGGAATCTGAGATCATTGATTTTTTCTTGGGGGCCTCTCTCAAAGACGAGTTTTTGAAGATTATGCCGGTGCAGAAGCAGACCCGTGCTGGCCAGCGCACCAGGTTCAAGGCGTTCGTTGCTATCGGGGACTATAATGGCCATGTCCGCCTGGGTGTTAAGTGCTCCAAGGAGGTGGCCACTGCCATTTGTGGGGCCATCATCCTGGTCAAACTCTCCATTGTCCCTGAGCGCAGAGGCTACTGGGGGAACAAGATTGGCAAGCCCCACACCGTCCCTTGCAAGGTGACAGACCGCTGTGGCTCTGTGCTGGTGCACCTCATCCCTGCACCCAGGGGCACTGGCATCGTCTCAGCACCTATGCCCAAGAAGCTGCTCATGATGGCTGGTGTCGATGACTGCTACACCTCAGCCCGGGGCTGCACTGCCACCCTGGGCAACTTCGCCAAGGCCACCTTCGATGCCATCTCTAAGACCTACAGCTACCTGACCCCTGACCTCTGGAAGGAGACTGTGTTTACCAAGTCTCCCTATCAGGAATTCACTGACCACCTTGTCAAGACACGCACCAGAGTCTCCGTGCAGCGGACCCAGGCTCCAGCTGTGGCTACAATATAGGGTTTTTATACAAGAAAAATAAAGTGAATTAAGCCTGGAAAAAAAAAAAAAAAAAAGCAGCTCAAAGATAGCTCCTTTTCTAACCTCATGCAGTTCAAGGAAATCACTTCTCTTCTCACAACAAGCAGCCTGAAAGAGCAGACAGTAAAACACGGATAAGACAGCTTTGGCACAGGAGTGGGGAAGGTCTCCTGGGTAATTACCAAACTTCACACTTGTACAATGGGCCCCAATAAAACAGTGGGCCTTAATAAGCACATTCTTTTCCCTTTGGGCACACTAAGATAGGGAAGCTAAAAGCAGACTTGGGGGTGGGGGGTGCCTACAGCTGCAAGAAGATGGGAACAAACACAGAAACTCTCCCTCCCAGATAACCAGGACGAAGAAACACAGACTAAGAGTCGGCCTATGTGGTCAGGGAATGAGACACAGCTGATAAAAAAAAAACAAAAAACAAAAAACAAAAAAAAAACTGCTCTGTACAGATAGCACACCTGGTCCCAACTAAACCATCAGGAGGATAAGATATCCCCTCCTTACGAGCCCCCTCCTCACTAGCCCATTTATGAAAACCTTGATATTTTTACTACAACTTGGCAACCCACTCGGGACCCTTCTCTGTGATGGAGAGCTGTTTTTTCCTTTTGCACTGTCTACTAAACTCCTGCCCTAAACTCACTCTGTCTGTGTGTGTCCACAACCTAGATCTCCTTGGCCGTGAGAACAAGAACTTTGGTATTCTCCACCTTCCAGGCTCAAGTGATCCTCCAACCTTGGCCTCCCTAGTAGTTGGGACTACAGGCACGTACTACCACACTCAGCTAATTTTTAAATTTTTTGTAGAGACAGGGTCCTGCTATGTTGTCCAGGCTGGTCTCAAACTCCTGGGCTCAAACAATCCTCCCACCTCTTGGCCTCCCAAAGTGCTGGGATTATAGGCATGAGCCATCGTGCCTGGCCTCAGCATTGTTTTTAATGGTTGTCTGTGTTAATCTCCACCCCATTAGCAATATTGAGTATAACGGCATGTATTTTAAATATAGCTGGTCAGACCTGAGAGTGTAGTCTGTTAAATGGGAGGGAGAAATACTAACTGTCCCACGTGGTCACTAGACCAAGAAGTTTAGTCTCATTAACACAGTAACAGTCACAGGCTGCTCTTCAGAGGAGCGGACATCATTGTATCATATAAGTACTCATGGCCCATGTTGGTTCAACTTTTATAGTTTCAGTTACCCGAAGGTGACACAGAATACCCGCAGCGATGACTGGCCATGCATTTTACCTTTGGGTAGATACCCCGTCTTTTTACTCTGAAATTAAAAATAATTCAGATTCTTTTGTGGAGGGTATTAAACATGAATAAACAGAATATAAACAGGCAGATGGATGGGTAGATAAGTGGTATTCGGGAATTTGAGGGCCTGGCACAGAACTAGATTCTTTTTCCTTTTTAGGTTTTCTTTCCTAACTTGCTGCTTCCTTCTGTCAACCTTATCTGGTCTGTAAGAACCTGGGAAAATATAAGAAACTGATGGTTGTGGGGAGGGAGTAGAAGAAGACTTTTCTAGGTCTTAGAAGATGCATTAATTAAAAGTTGCTAAGGCTTGTAATTAAGAATCAAGACCCTTGTAGGTGTACGTGATAGATCTTTGTATAATTATATAAATTTGTGAAATTATACCAAATTTCAACCTCATAAAGATTCTGAAGTTTTACAAAGTAAGAGAAGAGTGAAAAGGAAAAGTTTAAGCCCTAACAAACAAAAAGTTATTTCAATTGGCATATTAAAAATACATACATACCTTATCTTCTTGACTCCGAAAATAATACAATGTCTTTCCTATTAGTGTACACCAGACTCTCTTGGAATATCCATGTTTTACCTGAAATCATATTTCAATGAATTACAAATGTAGCCCAGAACTCTGATACCTTAAAGTATAGCTTATATACTCTATTCGAGTTTCTATAGGTATTCAGTTTGCCCAGATATAAGTGATATTCCAAATAGATGGTCCAATGCTGTTTAAGATTTACGTGTTACACACTGAGCACACATGGACATAAATATGGAAACAACAGACACTGTGGACTACCAGGGTAGAGGGAACCGGGGTGGCCAGGTTAAAAAACTACCTATCAGGTACCATGCTCACTAGCTGGGTGATGGGATCTGTACTCCAAACCTCAGCATCATGCAATATTCACATGTAACAGACCTGCACATGTACCCCTATATCTAAAATAAAAGTTGTAAAAAAAAAAAAAAAGATTTACCTGTTAACAGTAGTAGAATGGCAAGTTTTGCTTTAGTGCTCACCATTCAACATATAATGAATGTTTACTGTGCATCAAATACTATGCCTAGGACTGAGGTTTCACAGATGGATAAAGAACGGAGTGGAGGGGTGGATTGTGATTATGTAATGGGGTACAATGTATGTTATTACGAGTGATGGGTATCCTAAAAGCTCTGACAGAATCACTATGCAATCAATGCATGTAACAGAATAGAACTTGTACCCCATAAATGCATTAACATAAAGAAGAGAAAGTGCAATTTCACCAGTAAGTATATTTCACAGCTTCCATATTTCACAGATTTCCAATAGTCCTGTGGCTCTCTAGATTAACACTCTAACGTTAGAAGTGAGAAGATGAAGGCTGGGCACGGTGGTTCATGCCTGTAAGCTCAGGACTTTGGGGGGCCGAGGCAGGTGGATCACCTGAGGTCAGGAGTTCAAGACCAGCCTGACCAATATGGTGAAACCCCATCTCTACTAAAAATACAAAAATTAACCAGGCATGGTAGTGGACATCTGTAGTCCCAGCTACTCGGGAGGCTGAAACAGGAGAATTGCTTGAACCTGGGAGGCGGAGGTTGCAGTGAGCCGAGATCACACCACCGCACTCCAGCCTGGGCTACAGAGCAGACTCCGTCTCAAAAATAAAATAAAATAAAATAAAAATAAAAAAGAACTGAGAAGATGAAAACCTAAAGAATTCTAGTAATTTCCCAAATGTAAAACAGTCATTCATTCAAAAACATTTGATGCCTTCTTAGAAGTAATCATATAAAGTAATAAAATAATGTTAAAAGCTATTGCTGTAAATTGAGTACCTCCTATATATCAGGTAGTAAGCTAAGTGACTGGGACAGAATTTGAATCTAGCTCTTGACTTTGAATAGTCAGTAAGTGATATAGGTCCTGGAGAAACAGATTTGAACAAGATACAGTCTCCTTTCTCAGGAAGCTCACAGCCTTGTGAGGAAGACAGACAATTAGCAGTATGCTAAATATTTTCATCAAGAGTGCAAAGAGGCTCACAACTGGGCTATGGTGAGAGCCAAATACGAAAACATAAATAAAGGATAGCAGTGGTTACTCAATGAATGCTTCTGTCCTCACTATGAATAAGAAGGAAAACACGTTTTCTTTTAAACTCATAAACCCAGTCAGCCTTTGGGCTTTTCAAACGGTTTAAGCAAACGAGTAACTCCACCACCTAACGGTTTGATGGATTTAGAATACTGTTTGAGACAAAACAAAAAATGTTTCATTTGAGACATGTTTCAATTTAATTAAATTTAGAAACATATTTACAGACAAATATCCTGGAAGCTTTAAATAGCGTTGTGTGGGGTGTTTTTTTCTTTTCTTCTTTAAACAATCTCCAGAAAGAAGTCTCATAAAAACTGAAGTATAATGCATCTGGCTATAGACAGTGTGCTTCTGAAATGATTTGTCTTTAAAAGAGAACAATGTATGCCTTTGAAGAATGGCAAATTAATGAAGACCTTTGCCAATTCACTGTAAAAGCTGTGTTTTAACAATCTATCTTTATACATAAATCTTGCATTAGGATTTTTTTTTTTTTTTTTTTTGGATACGGAGTCTCGCTCTGTCACCCAGGCTGGAGTGCAGTGGCGCAATCTCGGCTCACTGCAACCTCCACCTCCCGGGTTCAAGCTATTTTCCTGCTTCAGCCTCCCGAGTAGCTGGGACTACAGGCGTTTGCTACCATGGCCAGCTAATTTTTGCATTTTTAGTAGAGATGGGGTTTCACCATGTTGGCCAGGGTGGTCTCAATCTCTTGACCTCGTGATCTGCCCGCCTCGGCCTCCCGAAGTGCTGGGATTATGGGTGTGAGCCACCGCACCCAGCCTAGAATTTCTTAAAACCCTGACTTACTCTTTAAAAAATTAGAAAACAAATTATACTAGAAGAATCCTCATGAAAATTTAAAGGCAACCTCAAATCTCAAAGTGAACTAATTAAAAGAGTAATTTTTTTTTACCATGCCTCCATAACAAAGGTAGTTCCTATTGGTTTTGTTTGAAATTTTGAAGACAAACAGTACATCATATCCTAATGAGCCCTTGCCACAGCACAAACCATAAGCCCCTACGGTATTCTCTCCTTCCCCATAAGCCCATCCCTGTAGTGCTCTCCACCACAAATCCTGCCACCAGCCTTGCTGACTTCACTATCAAGGTGAAACTCTCAGATGATAATAGCTAGCATTTTTTGTGTGTGTGTTTATGATATGCCAGGCACTGTTCTAACACAATTTATATATTTAAATAACTCATTTAATCCTCCCAGTACCTTGTGAGGTTGGCTCTATTATTACCCCCATTTTACAGGTGAGGATGCTAAGGCACAGAGCCTGTAAGTAACTTCTTCAAGGTCACACAGGTGGTAAGTGGCAGAGCCAGGACTTGTGCCCAGGCAGTCTGGCTCCCACCCTGGCCCTTGCCTCTTGCCACACTGTCTCCACATCCTTGCGCTCTTCACTTCTAATAACCTTTGCTGTCCTTCCACTTTTGCCACCCATCCCCTCAGCCATACCCTAATCCTTTTTTCTTCACTGGGATTTACAGACAAAAATCCCACTTCTGCAATTGACTTTCTGCTCTCTGATCACAACTTCCTCTCAGTTCCTCCTGCTTCCCTCCCCCTCTCACTTACCGCACTCCTATTCTTGGGTTTTTTTGTTTGTTTGTTTGAGATGGAGTCTCACCATGTTGCC